GAGAGAGAGAGAGAGAGAGAGAGAGAGAGAGAGAGCATTCTAATGCAAGGAAGGAGACTGAAGTGGGGCGTCGGGAGGGGGAGATGGACCAAGGAAGACCAGGTGGAAAGGGAGGGTTTTGCTGGGGACGTCTCATCTATCCAAGACTATGTTGGCTTAACCAACCATTTGCTCCTCCCCAAAGTTACGTGCTAATCATTATCCCCTTTTCCAAATCCTCTCCTCCCCCTCCCCACACACACTTTTGATCCCTTTTTGTGCTGTGCTTGCTATCCGTCCAAGCAAAAAGCCTCTCACGTCAAAGATGGTGAGTAATTGGCCTCAATCAATCCATCACGCCTGTCCCACACCACACCCTCTCTCCCCCCTCCCCTTCCCTGCACCTCCTCATGCAACAACTCTAAGCAACGCCATTGCTGGACATCTGCGCTCATTTAATATAACCACATGATCGCACGGGGGAGAGCCGAAGAAAGAGAATTCATGCACGTCTTCTGCCTGTCGGTGGCGTTCCGTGATGGTCCTGTGCGATCGAGTATCCTCGACCCTCTTCACTTTGCTAAAAGCGAGCTGTTAACTGGACTCCGTACCGGGCCCAACTGTGGGTCCCGTATCCAGAGGTTTCTGAGAGGGTGAAAGCGTGGTCGCTGTCGTAAAATGGACAGGGGAGCCTCGCCCTGACGCCCACACCCCAAGCAATACGCAGCCGGAATTGCTTGGATTAATAAGTAATTTACATGTACTTCCTTTCCCTTCTAAGAAATTGAGGCCTCTGTGGATCCCTCAAACTCCAATTCCACATGAGGTAAGCTAATATATGATTATAATACGCATAAAATAAAATAATTCAGATCAATTCGGCACATATCTTTATTCCATCACGAATAATTCACTTCATATCGATTGAGTTGGGATCAATAGAATGGGATTCAACATTTCTGCCGACCATTTCTCGATTCGCACAGATCCTTTCTCTGCGCATTTGGTCCCCGTCACGAGTTACGGCACATTTTAGATTGCGAAAGCATCGAACGTAACACTTCGTACGACAGCCATCACCTCATTCGTGTCCTTCCACAATCTTATCCACAATATTCGAAGGGAGAATTAAAAGCCCTCGTAAATGTATGTATCAACATCCATCAAAGGAATATATATATATACATAGCTCTAACCATGACGTACATGTATGTAATGATTACATTGGCATCACAGGAAACATGTCCAAGTTATGGAAGAATCAATAGGTCTGTCCATCAATCCTCTTCTTGCAACAACCTTGTGCAATATGGACTGTTTCGGAGGATTCCTTATTGCTATTACGAAGCATGAAAGCTCACATCAAAGGCCTTCCCTTTTGTTCCTCTTTTACTCTCTCAAGATGCAAGGCAATATGTGCCTTAAGTCGCAAAGAGGAGATTTCTCTTAAGGACTGGGGATTGGTGGTGTGTCTTAGTGATCTTTATTCTCTTATTAGACTTTCTATGATTGTGACAGAGATGATCATAATTTCTGCACACCTCTATATCATAGATATTTAGTATATGCTCATCAAAAGTATTATATACCATCGAAAATGATGTTGATTTGTATTAGTCATGCATGTATCCCTCAGAGTTCATATTTACGTCTATACATACTTTAAAACCACTGTATATATCAATTTGTATGTAAGAGAACTAAACAAATAAAGATGAAATTGTTTCCAGTTTGGTTGATTGGGATGGACTAGTGGTTACATCCATGATCAGAAACTGAGGTCTTCAGAGCACAGAGAACTACAAAATGATAACTCATTAGACAACTACAAAATCACATGGCAAAGCAATCTAACTATCGAAAAAGGATGCTTGGAATTTGTTGATGCGTACAGTATGACAATGAACAAACGTTTGTCGACCTGAGTCATTAAATTGCACCACAAGCAACATCATGGAATTCTTGCGCAGTGCACTGACATTTAATAGTATTGTCTATATATTAGATAGAGATGTCACTTTGCAGACATAAATATTGAAATGGCTGAATCAATATGACATGCATAGAGGTGTCAGCGTACATCAATCACTTCATAATGTATTAAACTTCCAATCGTATTTATTAGCTTAGGGGTTTATGAGTTCGGCTAATATGGAGTCAGATAGGAGAAGAAGGATGCAGTCTAAATCTCATTCTGCAGCTTAAAGCAAATCCGGCGAAATAACTCTTCTTCTTCTTCTTCTTTGTTTCTGATATGTGGGTGGCCGCCTACTGCAGATTTAAGCAAGGCAGACCCCACAAGAGATGGGCGCATCTGCGAGCAACTTTGCTTCAGTGCAAATGTGGAAACAATGTCCGAAATGAAGTCCTCGATTTATAGCTAGCTGTTACTGGTTTGGGATAAGGCCACGAGACCTCTAAGATTGTGTTTGGATTGCCATTAGATTGAGTGCATCCCAAGTAGTAGAGTTAACAAGCTAACAAGACAAAATTATTCTGGTAAAACTCTTTATCTCCACTTATTATGTATTGCTTCCAAAGGATGATGTATTACTAAAGCATGTCATATACTCCAGCATGTCAAAGATGTAGTAGCACCACTCTACGTAGCTGAGAGAGGAGCTCAGCGAATGAGAGAGAGAGAGAGAGTCCGATGGAGAGTCGTTTTTAGGTTAGATGGAAAGCAAGGAGCCCGAGGCAGGCGGTCCCATCGGGTGCACTTGTCGGTATAGTGACAGCTTGAAAGCGGGAAGATAGAGAGAGAGAGAGAGAGAGAGAGAGAGAGAGAGAGAGAGAGCGAGAGAGAGAGAGAGGAGCTACCTCTTTCTACCTTACATAAAAAGGGAGAGCTCTCCAACCAACCTACTGCACCAAGTGGAGACAGAGGTGAGCTCTAAGAACAGATCGAGATAACTAAGTGAAGAGTAGTGAGGCGAGTGGAATGGGGCATCACTCCTGCTGCAACCAACAGAAAGTTAAGAGAGGCTTGTGGTCGCCCGAGGAAGATGAAAAGCTCATCAGATATATCACCACCTATGGCTATGGCTGCTGGAGCGAAGTGCCCGAGAAAGCAGGTTCATCTCTCTCTCCCTCTCTCCACCATGGTAATGGTAAGACAGTGCTCTCATTTCCTTCCTTTATTCCCTTCTCTTCTGTCACGCAGGACTCCAAAGGTGTGGGAAGAGTTGCCGGTTACGATGGATCAATTACTTGAGGCCCGACATACGACGAGGAAGGTTTACGCCGGAGGAGGAGAAGCTCATCATCAACCTTCACGAGATTGTTGGGAACAGGTTTGATCACATCCACATCAATTTGATATGTGTTTCGCTCCGTATACTTCTTTTGTATTACCAGGCCAGCTGAAATCTATTTCATTCTATCTACATTGATTCATAGCCGGAGAAAGCTTCGTTGCATTGCCTCTAACGATAAGCTGGCTTTTGTAGGTGGGCTCATATAGCAAGCCACTTGCCCGGTCGCACGGACAACGAGATCAAGAATTATTGGAACTCGTGGATCAAAAAGAAGATCCACAAGCCGAGCAAAGCAGCTCAAACTGCAACCCCATCAGGCTTCGACCACGTTCAACCCGTCTTCAGCACCGCCGACCAATTCGACGCCATTCTCCACCACAACCTACCGAAGCCATCTGCGGCCGATCCCATCTTCCCTCCTCCACCTTGCCCTCTCTTCATGTTCGACGTAAGCGCCGGCGACAGCGGGTCAGCCACCGGCAGCACCAAGGAGGAGTTTGTGCAGGAGGTGACGACCCTAACTTCCGACCTCTGGAACCCTACCCATCAGCAAGACCAAGCGATGCCTCCCTTCCTCGCCTTCACCGCGTGCATGGAGTCCAACTACCTGCCGCCGTTGGTGGACGGCATGGGCGGCATGGTGCCGTGTTGCGTGGCGGACGACGAAGAGGCGAGCAGGCATCCATTCGAGAAGCAGGAGCTAAGCGAATGGGTGGACTCACGGCAGTACTCGAGCCCTCTGATATGGGACCAAGTCGCAGGTACAAGTCTTGGTGGTGAAGCTCTTCCGACAGCGCCATCCACCATGGACGCCATGATCACATCCTTCTCCTCGTCCTTATCGAGGATCAACTAGGGAGGAGGGTTGCCTTCCCCTTCCCCCCTGCTTCTTCTCCTCCATGGCTCCCTACCTTGCAACAAAGGAAGGGTGGGAGTTGGTGGAGATAACTTATTACTGCGTGCATGTGTGTGATGTACAAGAATAATTGTCCGTAACGGAAGAATATATATATAGGTGTCACGACAAAGTAGTTGTGGCTGATGTCTTCGTGTCCTCGTCGAGGTTTGTGATGCCGCTGTGAAATGGTAAAGGGGACCCACTTACGCACTCTGCATTGCTTTCACTTTGCTTGGGAAACTTGCAACAAATTAAGGTCAATCTGCATATAAAGCTTCTATCCTTTTTCCTTTCCTTTCTATGTTGTTCTTAGTTTTGGAGAAGCAGATGAGTGAGACACTCACTGTTTCTTTCTACCAGGCAGCATTACAGCTGCAATTGAAGGATCAATCTGAAGAGCTATTCTTAATATCACCATTCTCCAATTCTTATTATTATTATTATTATATATGATGAGAAGGAAAAGAAAGAAGGAAAATGAGGCTTTAAACAATGGAATGAATCATCATTAAATATTTATAAAGGTTATTTTCATAATTTGAAATATGATTTTTTTTTAAGACACAAGCGAACAATCTTATCATTGGGCTCTAACTATTTTAAGAAAAAACAAAAGGAAAACTATTTGATTTGACGGAAAAATAGTTGCAAGTTGTTTCGCCGAAGTGTTAAATGTCATAACCTTTGACAACGATGGGAAGAAGAGTTATTTCGTTTGAAATTATCACCAAAAGGAAGGTGGTGGGGAATGCTTTCGATGCATCCCATCAAGAATTATGAACTTGAGGCCGTCATTGTTAATTTCTTTTGGTCAATTCTTACATCGGTCTCTCCTGATCTGATGCATGGTTTAAATTGTTAGTTTCAAACTTATTTCATGTATTTGAACCATTTTCTAGGTGAGGTAGATTTAATATTATCTGTAAGGATCTAATTATATTTTTTCTAAAAAAATTGAAGGTTGTGACTCGTTTAGTTGATAATAACTTTTTGATAGATTATCGCGAGGTTTTAGGTTTAGATTCTACCTTTACTATTTACCTTTCATTCAAGAAAAGATAAAAAAATCTCTTAAACTTGCATCATCTTATGCTTAGTTCAAGTTTATACGAAAACTCATTAATCGGGGGTGTATGAATTTAATTATATATTAGGTAAAGCTTGATTTTTTGTGATGAATAATAAACCAATCATAAAGGTTTCTCTTCTTCAATAAATAAAGAAGACACTTGATCTAAGTCAAAAAAAATATATATTATCATTTATTTTATTATTTCAAAAAAATTCATTCTCAAAATGGATTTGTATATGTTTTTTTTTAACTCAATGATGGATATATGATATTAAAAAAAGATAAAATACATATATCCTCTTTTTAATGTCATATACCAATTGTTGAGTTAAAAATAAATAAATATATACTAAACCTTTTGAGAATGAATTTTTTCTGAGATAATAAAATAAATGATAAGATTTTTTTTTTGTTTGTTTTAGATCAAGTGTCTTCTTTTATTGAAGAAGGGAAACCATTAAGAGAGAATAGAGGGGACAAAGAAAGAGAAACAAAAAGAAGATAGATAAAAATGGGCCATATAAGGAATAGTGTTGATAACATAAATGTGATCAATCTAGCTGTTCACAATTATTCCCTTATTTACACATCCTCTCCTTATATCCTTTCTTACTCTTGAGTAATGTAGTTGTAAGCCCTTCTTTTCTTAAGCACTTGTAGCCAATGGCTTTTAGAGGATTGAGAGAGTGAACCCACTTCATGTTTTGACCTGAAAGGGGGTCACCTGCAGCTACTTCTAATAGAAAAAGTCCATTATGTTATATAGATATATATAATTAAAGTAAAATAAAGGTATGAGTGTCTTCAACGTAGAATTTTGATCCACAGGATAACTCGAATATATATTCATTAGAAAAATTAAATAGAATTTTGAATCTATTTACTCATATCTATAAAATTATATCGAGGACATATTGCCTCTTCGATATTTATATCAATTAAGGATTTTAAGGACTCAATAAAGTCCGAGTTTTATTATGTAGCATCTGATATCAAACCAAAAAAAATAGTTATCAATCATAATATCTACATTTAAAATAAATAAATAAAATATTATTAGGTTTCCGATCACAATGTGTCTCCTAAAATCTTATTAGTCCTTTTCTACTGAAGCCCTTACTATAATCAATTTTTTTCCCAGCATGAGACTAAGATAAAAGCATCACAATATACCCTATTAGCTAAGATGAACGCAATATTTCTTGGACAATGAAGCAAAGGACTTCTAACCTTGGTTTCCAAAGAAAACCGACTCCCTTCACAGTTCACATAGATTTAGGGGTTCGTATGGCTCCCTTCTTTGTGGATGACATCTTTCTAATACTCCATTGATAATTAGCAGACACAATCCAAAGACCGACGTACAAGTAGGAGTTGCATGCAGCAACTCCTATTACTGCACGTACAAAGTTTGGAAGCTCAAACCATTGGAACTCGGTCGAGTGAACGGGGGAGCACTTGAAGACTTTTGGGAACTTGCATGGGCGAGACGATAGGGAGAGGCTGACAGAGAGACAACTCGAAACAGTTGTTTGACGGCAAGCATGCCGTCTTTTCATCCTCAAAAGCTTGGCATGTCGGCCAATTCGTGCAGGCCAATCCCTTGACGTACTCCTTTCCGTTCTCGGAGAGCAGGAGGACATGTCTCGATGAGAAAAGTTCCGTGTCTCTCTTTGTTCATTAGAGACTCAATTAGGCTGGCATATGCATGTGTTTTGGCATCATCTCTGGGACGCAACAGGGAAGCCCAGTGGCATATTTATTGGGGTTGTCACTGAGTTCTCGAGACTCCATCTCTAGCACCTTCGCTCCTTCCTCCTCACCTTGCACAAAGAAGAAAGTCAGATCTTCAAGTAGTAGTAGTACTGCAACGCATATATGAGGCCTCCCATGCTAATGATGGCTCTTCTTTTGCTCGTGATACTCGTAGCCAACGACTCTCGAGGTGCATTGTTGGAAGACAAGTCGCTGGCTTCTCTAAACAAGCAAGTCCATGTCAGTAGCACTACTACATATCGAGTATGGCATTGCTTAGTTTCTTGCCTTTGGATAATGCTGTTTTATTGTATGCCGATAGCAGGAGAAGGAAAGACCGACGGAAGGAGGAAGTGGCGGATCTCATAGGCATTGCTCAGGTATGTCGACACCTTCTTTGTCTTCTTGGCTTCGGCATAACTACATTAATCGACATAAAGACATTAGTGTCTCCTTTCAAATCTTATCGATGCAGGAAAGAGTAGGAAACTCATGATTAGTGCAACGACCACCTCAAAGGTTGGTATTCAAGTAGCAGCTGATGGTAGAGATAATTCTGTAGCGCATGTCTTCTTTGCTCATCATCTCATGGTGACTCACAGAGCGAGAGGACCGACGAGGGAGAGGGTGATGGCAGCCGAGAAGACCTCCGCTCGACCGTGCCGTCTCCTTTCGAGCAACCGCAGACCTACCTCGACATTCTAGACGCAGCAGGAACGGATTATTCTCCTGCAGGTAGAACGCCTCCAATCCACAATTGAGAAAGGCTAGCAGCAACAACAAACTAGTAATGCCAACAGCTTAGGAAGAGACAGTCGCAGAGAGATGGTGCAGTTTTCTTGGGTTTGTGCCATTCTGGGTAGATGCTACGTACTAATGAATATAATATCTACGCTATATGGGGTAGATGAAGAAGGTGTGTGTTGCGTTCATGATATATGCGGCTGAAACATGAAAGTCAAACCATGAAATATGTTGGCTCATGAGAAACTTAAGATGCTGGCTTCTACACAATGACAAACCAAACAAAAACACACCAGTAGCCATAATAGCGCTTGTAGCAATAATTGCAATTATCCAAACACCTTATTTTGCAAACATTGTTTGTTTCCCCAAGAAAACACAAGCAGAAATGAGCCAAAGTGCCGGTACACGCCATTGCCCTAACTTTATTTAACTTGCTAGCTGCAGTGTTAGGGCATCAAACCAAACACTGTAAACATGGAAGTCAGTTCAGTCAATCATCAGCATACTCGTGGTGGTGATGGCGGTGCTTATGATGGCGGTGCTTCTTTTCCTCATCAGAGTCATTTCCCTGCCAGTTACTCCAATTAGAAGGGAAAAAAAGAAAAGGGAAAAGCACACACAAACCACCTGAGTCCAAGCTGAACTGAGCTGAACATGGTATATTTAAGTTTGAAGATGTCCAAACTACAAAAGAGTTTTTGACTTCGATTCATGACATTGAAGCTTCAAATATATTTGAGGTAAATTATGCATAGATCTCAAAACTTAAGATCAAGATTAATGAACAGGATCGTCGCTTAAAATGATTCTTAATCTCTCTTTTTTTGCATAATTCATTTTTTATTCTCTATAAAGCATGCAAAAGGTACACATTCATATAGTGTATGCAAAGAAGAGGGGATGTCCCTCTTCGAGTAATGTGATTAACAATTAAGAAATACAAACAATATATAACAGTAGATTATTGGATGTTACTAAATCTTATGCACGCCATCTGGGCTAGCACATCAATGGTTTATTATATACCTCCGATGTGAGCAAACAACGGATAAAATTTCACAAAAGTTGCAGCCTTATTATGGGTTAATTAATATGTGGATCTCATAAATGGCCAAGATACAATTCAACCCAACTTACATACTAAACTAATGATCAATTCAAATACTGTCATTTGTTCATCACCAGAATCCAATCTAAGGAAATGTATATTATCCAACAGAACGGCAACCAAAATGAAAGTTGCAATCCCAAAACAAAACCTCTCTCTCTCTCTCTCTCGTCCTCATCGCTTTTATCAATATTTTGCCACCAAATATGCAGCAACTGACCTGAATCATGACTGGTGGTGCTTCTCTTCCTTCCCCTCTCCATGACATTATCTATACCGACATATTTGCTACCTGCACATATTGTATCCCTCTAGTTCTTCCACTGTTGCTGTTTTTTAACAGCGTGCATCCTTTGTGCACCTCATTCCAATAGTATTGCCCAGAAAATACACCTCTTATAAAACTTATCATTGATTTCCTTCCAAAGGGCAAGACAGTCAGATGATATGCTTAATTGTATAATTGATTAGACCTTTCCATTATTGCAAATAAGAGAAACAAATGGACAATTCTCCTTCCACTACCATCCACATAACTGCAAGAAACCAACTTAATGTGGTTGACGCTTTATTATATATGTATTACTTTTTTATTATTCTGTTCATTTTCTATCGTGCTACACCATTATGTTTTATATGCTGTATTATTTCAAATTGCATTATTCTTTACTTTGCTCTTTTTCTTTTGGTTTTGTTGTTTTTGTTGCATTACACCTGATGTTATTTTGTTTTGCTCTATTGCTATGTTGTAGGAACCTTTTACCTTCCCTTCTTCCAAGATAAACCCATCCTAATTATTTTCATGTTCATATGTTTTACAATGAATAAAATACTCTTAACCCATCTTTGTTAACAGAAAGTATTCAGCTCACATCCATATTTGTACCTTATATGTCATTAAAAAGAAGATATAGTCCCAGTAAAGCATTTATTTAAATCACATGCACTTTCCTTTTGCACATTGTTGTAGTTGTGAACCAGCCACTGAAGGCAAAAGTTATGCCACAAGTAGCTTGCTTAAAAGAAAATAGAAGTAGATGACATATTAGGTAGGAACATTGTGAAAGGAAGCAGCATAAAAGATATATTCAAGTTTCACCACAAGAAGACAGGGGAAGTGCCCAAAAAAAAAAAGGAAATGAAATAAACAAAAAAACGATTATCACAATATTCGAGGATCTAGGAGAGAGAAATGAGGTGGGAATGGTTAATCATTAGGTAGGAAGCATCTTGATTATTGTGTTGAGGCATATAATCTAAAACTGATCCAATTTCTATCAGCTTCTCGGCCATATCAACAGAGATTGATCAGACTCTGCCAGAATACATTAAACTTGGTCGGAGTAGGCCAATTTTGGGCATTTCTAGTTAATTTGACAACCTTGAAAGAACAAAAGCGAGAGAGAGAGAAGGCACTATGACAACCATACGAGTGAAGGAGAAAATGAATGTGGAGAAAATTTTTTCAAACCATGACTATGACCATGAAATAAAGATGCCTCAATTACATTACTCATCGACGGCTTGAAGATCTACCCTTTTCCAGTGCTTTTGCAATATACGAGACAGATTGGACTGAGAATTAAAGATAACATATTGCTGAAGAGATACCACAGCAAGCAATATATAAACAGTAATCGAGGAAGTTAAAAGGTACATATAAGAGGAAAAAGGAGAATTAAAGAGAGAAGGCCCTTCCAAGTTCATGTTTTGTATATTTAAGCTTATTTATGAAGATAAAGGTTTCCAGTACAAAAACAAATAATGCAATGCTACCATCAAAGTGGAGTAACTTGCTCAACTTTTGGCATGTAACTAACACGCTAAGGTAAAAGAAGAACCCTCTCAAAATAACATCATATGTTGTACCAAAACAATTTCTATGGATACATGAGGATCTGGTTTTCGATTGTTAGGCATCAATATAAATAAGCCAAAATGAACAAGATCATACAATTGTGTATGAAGAGCGGCTAACTTTGACTGAATCAGCTGATTCTGCCTTACCATGGCCAATTTCTGACAGGAACCACTAGCAGAAATTGGTATGCAAAATTTGCACAGGATGATGCTGTAAATCTGGAGTTAATGGAAGGCAGGTATAAAGGCAAGTCAAGACAGAGAAACACTGTCCATCAAGAGGTTATGCATGAAGAAGAATGCATGATCAACCACTATCAAACAATAACAAATGATCATCTCAGTCACAGTAAACGGAACAAGTGAGGACAGAGGTGATATGAAACAGAGGACTTACATAGCTAGGGCGGCCATACCCTTCACCTTGATCAGCACCATATGCAGGATTCACATAGCTAGGGCGACCATATCCTTCACCTTGGTTAGGATCGTGCCTGCTTGGCCTATTATACCTCCCACTCTCCTCCTCGTCACCGCCGTAGACGGGCTTATTATACCTCTCAGTGCCCTCCTCATCTCGTCCATAGACGGGCCTGTTATACCTCCCAGTCCCCTCCTCATCTCCACCAGAGACAGGCCTCTGATAAGTTGGCTTCGGATTCGACCCATATCCGGACTCATCGGCCTGGTACTTGTGACCACCACCAGATCCGTAATCGCCACTACCATAGCCACCACCACCAGATCCGTAACTGCCACCGCCATAGCCACCACCACCGCCAGATCCGTAGTTGCCACCACCACCACCAGATCCGTAATTGCCACCGCCATAGCCACCGCCACCAGATCCATGTTCACCACCGCCCTGGTACTTGCTCCCGTAACCATATCCTTGCCCAGCCTCCTCTCTTGAGGGCTTGGGCTGCCCTTGCCCATACCCGTATCCGTAGGAACTATCCTCATCGCGCTTGGGTAACCCACGACCATACCCAGATCCGTACTCCTCGCTGCCACCATACCCAGACCCTGGCTCAGATCCGTGATCCTGAAACCCAGGCCTGGGCTGAGGGCGGCGACCGCCACCGTAGCCACCAAAATCACCGACGCCTCCACCTCCCTCGACCTCTTGCTGGGGCCGGAAGCCGTAGGCCGGCTCCGGCTTGGGCTTCGGGCGGCCATAGGGCTCGCCGTAGTCGGAGGCCCCGTAGGCGGAGGGGACGGAGCCGGAGGAGTACTGAGGCCTTGCGTAGTCTACGTTAGAGCCCGCGGAGGAGATGGGGTAGCAGGTCTCCTCGGAGGGCGGGAGGGGGCGGCCAAAGGTGAGACTGAGATCGTACCCCCCGCCATAAGGCGTCGGATCATACTCGTCGAAGTCATCCACCGCCTCATCTCGTCCTCTCCAAGCGGACGCCATCTCTCTCTGTCCTCTCTCCTCACGAAGAAGTCTTCTCAGATCCACCGGGCGTAGGAATGGTGTGGAAGGTGACGCGTTAGTTATAATTGGAGGCGGTGGCCGGGCAGGTGGGCGTATGAGCATCACAGAGGCCTTTGTATTTTTAGTTATTATTAATATTGTGGAAGGCCTTTAATTGAACATTCCTATTATTATTAGTTGGGCGAGTTTTTACAAAAAAAAAAATCTTAACTTTAAATTATTCATAACATCTAATGTTTTAAAAAATTCATCCCAAACAGCTCTAACTGTATAAAAAAATTATTTTACTCTCGTAATTTAAAAAAATTATCATGATCCTCACGTAGAGATAGATAACTAAAAGAGTGGGACGAGCAGCATTATTAGCTCATGATATTGCTTGTTAACTCACGAAAACACATATAATTACGGGAGAAGAGGTAAACGATTAATTAGAGTTGACGAGTGGAACTATCAAGTATAAGATAATCATCAATGAGGCTGATGAGAGTAGAGGCAGGTCGAGGGCAATGACCAATAGAGATAAAATGATTATTTAAAATAAGAGATGTTGTATGAAATTTTTTAAAATTTTTAGACTGTTTTACGTGAAAACTCAAAGTTATATAAATATTTTCGTAAATTTATCCTTATTAGTTGCTATTTTTTGTTTCCTCTAATTTTTTCAAACAAAAAATACGAAGGTGAAAATCATGTCCCGATACATTGTACACGCAAAGATAGGAAGACAGGTGGTGTCGAGTTTGTCCAAATCAGTGGCAATTGATTCTGGTCGATCTTAGAAATTTAACATTAAATCTTATATAATATCTTGGACGACTTTTTCTGAATTTTTTTTATTTTTTAAAAAGATGATCCTGTTTTAGTTTTTCCTAAATTATGTCTTTGTTTAGAACAATGCTAAAAATACTCGACACCAAACCGAATGATTTTGTTTTTGTTAATTATAATGTTTTGACCTAGTATAACACAATACAAATACTATAAAATCTATTTGAAGACTCTGTAAAATGATACAAGTAGATTCATAACCTTAATCAAACTAATCTTAAATCTAAAAATTTTATAGTGCGATGATATATGGGCAATGACAACTAAAGATGTATAATATAAGATCATTTAAATTATTTATTAATAGTATTAGTATTTTTAATATATCAACAAAAGCACTGTAACAATATTGTAAAAGTACTGTAAGAGAGTCGAATTGTCTCAAAACACAATAGAAATCATTTGATATATTAATTAGGATTCAAATAAGTATTTATAATAATTTATAAATCATTCAAATAGGGATAAAAATTGATTGATCATAGTGTTTTGATCATTACAATAAAATACTATAAAATTTACTTCAAAATACTGTAAATAATGATCTCCTAATCTCAATCAAGTTAAGTATAAATCTAAAAATATGATACCATAATAATTTATATTGATGTTAATCAAAGAGATATAATATGATATCACTTTCAATGTTTTTCAATAGGTTTACAATATTTTTAAGACATCAATAAAAAAATCATAACATTATTAAAAAATATTATAAATAAACTAAATAAAAATACTGTAATGATCCAAAACTAGTGAAAAAAGAAAACTGATGAAAAAAAATACCATTGTTGTTGGTGATAGGTATTCTGAACATTATTCGAATTATGGTCATCATTTGAAAAATAAACCAAAACAAGGAAAGCCTTTTGAGAAAAAAAAAGAAGAAAAATCACACTAATATCTTTGCATTATTAGAAAATGATAAAAAAAATTATATTATTACAGCATTTTTTATTATAAAGAAAAACCTTAGATGATCCGAGTCTTGGATACTTAATTTCTATCACATAACAATGACCATAAATTAGGATGAGCACAAAGATTTAGGTAAAGCGAGAAACCTTTTTGTGGTGAGGTTGAACCAAATTGTTATCATCCAAATAAGGGCAATCTTAAGACATTAATTAGCACGGTAATATGACTAGGAATTGTGAACAGAGGGACCAAAATGTCAATATATTTTGATAATTTCCAATGATTTAAAGGAAAGCTTAAAACCTAATAAATAAGCTCACATCAAAATATTAGACTGCAAAAAATAACTAGAGAAACAAATTAAATTACAACTGATTCATTGTTAGGCACATCCTTAAGACTTACTGGAAATTGAATCATTTAGTGCCAAGGGTTGTACAATTTCAGAAGCATATAGAAGGTCCAGGTATCCTTCAAAACATTAAATCATTGTACATGAAATACAATGTCCTTATTGCTAGAATCCAATATACAGACGAGATTCACATTAACGTTCACAAGCAAAGATGAACGTTCATAAGCAAAGATGATCCCATTGAGATATGGGTAAAGACAGTGTGTTCAAAATAAAGCGGATACAACAAAGCATACTATCTATCTAAGCCACAAGAAATAGAAACAAAAAAAATAACAAATTGTCCACAAGGACAACGACACGTGTCGTTAACAGGTTTAGAGAACATGAAAACATGCATGCAAAGGACCCCAAATTGTTGGGACATTCCGAATTGTAGTTGCTGTGACAAACGCTTAAGCACATGAAAATTATTAGTTGACCACTCCAGAATGGCCACAACACCCTTTAAATCGGGATATAATTAACAAAAGAACTGGAGAGCATGTGCAATCTTTATTGGATAAACCCTACAAAAATGTTAGATGCAACGTTCGCTTCACAGTAACATGGAGTGTGGGTTCTCAATGTAGCCTTTAAAAGCTTTCAACCACTGGGCGCCAATCGCACCTGACATTAGTGTGGAAGAAAAGTCGGGGGTCAATTCCACCAATTGTACACCGAAAGCGTAATGCATGAGTACGTGGCACATACCATCAATCACACGGTGATCACAACTCAATGTGACTGACATGAAGGAACCAAATTCAAATTGGTCAGGAGCACCACCAGGAAGCACCCTCCTCTCAGCTGCTCCACTCGGAAACAAATTCCAGCATCAGTATGCATTATTACATTGCAGATAAACATTATGAACAATTAAAATATACCAGATCCAACAGCCAAAATGGCTGATTGAGGAGGATTTATGATGGCACAGAACTGCTTGACACCAAAAGGACCTCCAAGATTTGACACCGTAAATGTACCTCCCTACAAAATAATTTTCACCGAGTTATTAGGCATAAAGCTATTGCTGTTAGATCCTTGCAACTATATTTTGATACCTCATAATTTTCTGGTTTCAAGCTGTTCTCTTTGGCCTTCTGAGCCAAATTCTTCACTTCCTCTGCAATTATAGACAGTCCCTTCTTGTCTGCATCCTGCAAAAATCACATGCATGTTATAGAACACATAATACATGCACTAAAGCCATGAATTCATGCGCCACTAATTACCCTAATAACTGGAACAAACAACCCATTATCTGTCTGGACAGCAACATTGATATTAACATTGTTGTACCTGCATCAACAGAATTAAGTCGGGATGAATCTATAACTGACTAAAAAGAAAATTATTTGAAAAGAATAATATAAAATTCAGGAGTTTTACTGTCGAATGAAGTCATTCGTCCAGGAACTGTTACACTGAGGAACTTTGCGAAGAGCCAAAGCAGCTGCCTGTGTTTTAAATGTATGTTCAGAACATATTCAGAACTGTTGCACCAAATCAGATTTTAAAGACGAGAAATTTCCGTTCCTTGATGATAATGCAAAACATGTCAAGCTCAACAAAGAATAGGAAAACAAAAACATCAACAATCCTATGACGCCAGATAATAAAATTTCTGATCAAGATCTATATACACTTATTTTTTGCAAGAAGACAATGGAATAGATTGGATATTCACAATATATCTTTTCACATTGAAACTACAATCATCAACTTCTGTCATAAAACAAAGTTAAACATATACAATTGGATAACAAATTATATGAGAAACAGTAAACATAGACTCAAAACATTACAGAATTTGGTTAGACAATCACATGTTTAAATGCATATTTAAACAAGAGACTAGGGCTACACAAGCACAAAGTTATTTATACGCCAGTGCAATGTTGCATCACACACCATGGTTTGGCCCTGTGAGAAAGGACCAGTGTCACCAGACACATCATTGTTGGACATGGGCACACTCACAAGTTGACTGATCTGTGGTCTATCAGCCTCCAGTACTACTTTCCCCTTGTCATAACTTGAAATTCATAATTTGCTCAATCAAGTGCTCGAGCCATGTCCTTCCATCTCTCGTTCATTAGTGTAAAGATGGCCATAAGCACGTGAGTCACCTCCATAACACTAAGAAAAGACTCAGGATATACCGTAGTTCCCTAGCACATCATTCAAACCTCAGTGTGGTACCACTAGTCTCTAATTCTAGGGAAAGAAGACCAAGTAAGCTAAAAAGATATCTTCATTACTGAAAAAATAAGACAAGATTGCAAACCTTGATAAAAGAGACTTACAATTCATTTTATAGGCTTAAAAACCCTATAGTATATTAGGCTATCATTGTTCCCTCATAGCCTTTCTACATTTCTCTACTTCTCCAATATTGCTTAAATATTCTCTAATTCTACTTCTACTACTTCATTACTTAACTAAAATATGGTAAAGTGCCAAAATGGATACCAAGCCAAAATTTTAAACTTTGGACTTGTATTACACCAGCAAGAAACACCAAGAAAAACAATGTTTGCGACAAGGTTACCTTACCGGTCCATACCAGTGTATCAACTAGCTATCAGTACGATACGTACTGAGGCATACCAACGTACCATATGTCGGTATAATGTCGAGGAGTACTGATGGTATGGTAAAATTACCGAAAATAGCTCAAAAATATCTAAAAATAGACCCAAAAAAAAAATTAAATTGAGGTTTTTAAGTTGAAAATAAATGTAAATTTAGTATAATTTTAGCAAAAATTATCTAAATCAGGAAAAAAGAATGATGCATATCTTCTTCGAGCTTTGAGGAGTAACTTTATGGTACATTCTGAATTATCCTTCCATTAATATTGAACTATCTACAAAGATGGTTTGAATTATTAGATTATTTTTTAAACAACTTAAACTTTAAGATTCAAATAAATGAAATAATTAATCGATGGATATACCTGGTTCTACCACCAAAAAGAATATCGAGACTCCATAAGCAATGGATTGGGGTCCTTGATCTTATGTATCTATATATTAATTTGACATGTTTGTCGAACCCAATCCTTAAATAAATCCTACGACATAGTATATTGATACACCATATGCCAGTGGTGCATCAATTTGGAGATGGTCGTAGATTGATCGTTGTGAACCATAAGTGTCTGAAGTGGCTCCTGAGGTAAGGACGATTATGCCATGTATTGGTGCAGAGCATGGAGAATGTCAACACTTTTACTTTTGTCATTGATCTGTCGCTCTGTTTCATAAGATCAATCAATGTACTACTGCTCGAAGAAGTAAGACCAACTATCATCATACTGCTGTTGGCCATAAGATTCTTCATAATATGCCGATTGTGAATATGATGAGCTTTGCTCTGTGTCTACGTCGTATAGGCTCTATCGCATATGCTCAAAATCATCTACTACCTTTCCCCTTCCACTTCCCCTTCTGTGTATAAACTTGACAGATACCTCGTCGAGCTCCATGATCGGAATCTTTAGTGGCATGTGTAAAATACTGCTCCTCGACCCATGCACCACCCTCAAATTGTGTACACAGGACCATCAACTCCCCGATGTCGCCGCCATCATCGGTCGAAGTGATTGAGAGGGTGTCTCTTTGCTTGACCCGATTCTTTCCAACGATATGGCTAATGCTACTGCCTTCCCCTTTGTCTTTGCACACTGGGAGGATGATTGTGGCAAAGAAAAGGGTTTCAAAACCCTTTCATATATTTCAAACGATCAATTTGATCGTTTGAAATAGGGCAATATAAGCCCTTGATCGGTAATGGTCGAAATCTGATCGTTACCGACCAGTACAGATCGGTAACAATCAGATTTCGACCATTACCAACTGATATAGACCTTGTATCGCTCGATATAGGGTCATGTAACAAGTACAGCCCGATACAGGGTGGTCCGCATACCAATCCCTTGTTGGACCAATACATACCGCCCATAATGAGTGATACATCTCAATACGACAAACCCTAATTTGTGATCAAAAAGATAATAACATTCTTATGCTAAAAAATAACAAAGAAAAGGAAAAAAGCCATTTCAACCATAATCAATCCTTGCATCATCACTCAAACTGAGAGATAAACTAAAATGGAAAAATAGAAGGACGATGACATGTAAGTTCAACAATATATCGATTAGGCATGCAGTCCTTCATAAAAAGATGTCTTTGATCACAAAATAGTTATTTGGTCATGTCAAACGACATCAGAATAACAACACCCAAAGTCCTTGGTCAAGAAAACATAGGACACTTCAAGTCAAACAAATTCGTAAGGATATGGTAGGCATTCCCAACAATAGAAATTCCCCAATTAATTTGTCTCTTGTGATAAAGATAGAAAATATTCAATTATATAAAAAGGCAATTATCAATGATAATGGTCTAGTTATGTCGTAGTATTCTGCAATTTTCTCAGAGCTCCATTTATTGTAAGCAAGTTGATCATGATTAACATGGTACTATCCAATGATTTTGGGTTTGCATCATACATGATAGAACAACTCCTACAACAAAAAAATTGAGTTATGGTATTAAAGATGAATTCAGATAGGACACCATAATTCACTCCCTTTCTTTATTCTTGATGTTGAGTTTTATGTCTGATCTTGAAGTAACCTGATGTTATTTACATGTACATAACCCACAATAAGGAGTCTTACTTGATTAATATATCAAGCTATTAGGATTAATTTGGATGTTGGTCCCTCTCCCGTGTCAAAGAGGGTAAATGGTCATTAGAGGTTCATGAAAAAGAAACTTATAGCAACAAAAAGAAAAGAAACCAATGATCCATGTGGTGCTTAATAAGAAGTTTCTCTCATCACCTTGAACCACTTAGGTTAGCCTTGCACCTAAAAATTACAATCAAAATCCTAAAAACAATGCTCCTCATACATTCTGTGCATATTTCTTACCATGTCAATGGAACGCCCATGTGAAAAAGCAGAGACAACCTAGGTGTTTCACACCTCTTTTTAGTTGCCTAATAGTCTTGACAACCACCACTAACCGGACAACTAACAAAGTTAGCAATGCAAGCTCATCAATAATTGGTATTAAAGCATGCAGCAAACCAGAAAATCATAAGATTATATCTAATCGAGTCTCCAACTGAAGAGCAAAACCTACAAATAGACACTCCCTAGATTGCATCAGAGGAATCAACACAAGGCAGAAACTTTTATCAGATCATCAGTATACGGGATTGAAAACATAAAACTGACAAGGCTCCAGATGCAAAATCAGTTGCTAGCTTTAACTTAGAAGAACATCAAACAATGTGGAATCATCATGGTAACTGAATTCTCAAAAGAACATATTTTGCTGCATCTTGCTGAGCATGAAGTCCTAGCCGACCATTACAAAATTACAATCAGGAGTATAATGTATAAATTCACAAATAATATATCACTAGATGGGATTTAAAGGGAACAAACCTTTATGACAAGGTCATTGATTGATATTCTTTTACCACCAGAAGTCTCTTGTATAGCATTAAGTTTGCTCCGCAACCTGAGGGAAGTGTAAAATAGTTCATACTCTGGATTATCTTAATTGCATCCACTTTCAATGAAACCAACATTCAACAAACAATGTTACACTATCAACGTTAAATTACAGAAAATTGATACTCACTCCATAAGCTTGTCAACACGGGTGTCTACTGTTAAATAGTAGTGGGGAATAGTCTGTTTAGACAGCAGCAAGCGGGAAGCTGTAACCTGCAAATTTGGACCATCAAATATGAACACAACAACACTAGAAACTCAACTAGGTGAGAAGATTGAAGGACGGATTTAGTTACTTTTCTTATCTGGGAATTTGGAAGGTCCACATAATCCAATCCTTGAACAGCGGCTGGACCCTTTGCCTTGGATTGAGCAGAGACATCTTTTTCCCTAGATGCTACATTCAATCAAATGCACAGTCACTTTTACGATACCAAAGAAACATGAAATGTTTTATCATAAATATGATTGTGTTATGCATATAGAGAAGTGCATGACTATCAAGGTCTCCAAACAGTAAGATAACATAATTGAACTTATGATTGCAATATAATCACGTCTTAATTGTTAGTGATGTCAATATGGTGTTAGTGGGTAAGGATTTCTCAAACTAATATAAGAGATTCCTTAACCAGATGACAGCAGGAGCAAAACATCAACAACTGCTTGGCCCTTTTTTTTCATACGATGATAAGTGGTGCAACTCAAGTCAGTGGACTATAAAAAAAAGGGCAACAGTTGAAGCAGAAAAACAATAAAAGAATAAGAGAAGTTTATCGCTACAAGATACAAACCATCAGCATTCACAACCAAGATAACTTGGTTATGGTACAAGGTCTTACCATAGGGTATCAGTGGTAAACTAAGCATTTGCTAGTTGAATAAAAGAATTAATCTAATAATATTTTTAAATGGATAATGTGATTCACCAAGAGAAGTGCTTACATGTTAAACTATTGTCAACCAAGCACTGCAAGGTATATGCAATGTAGCACATGTTGCATATGCCACACAATGTTATATGATATGGTAGCATGTGGCATGATTGAATTTAATGCAAGCGCTACAAGATGATATTAGTACCCACAAAGTACTTAATGCTTGAAGACTTCAATACTGCATTAATATAAATATAGTCTCTTCTCAAAAATCTGAGTTATTTCAGCTCACCTTTCAGTGTAAAACACCTGGTGCATAAGCTAAAAAATATCTCAAATAGCTAGAGATTCTTAAAACTTACAAAATAAAAAATTTGCTGCATAAGAAATCACAACACAAAATAGTGCCACGCAACCCAAATAAGCAATGGGAAAAGTCACCCTCTTCTCTATCAAGCACATTTCTTTTCCACTTGAAAGGCTTCATTAAAGTTCAAGTAAAAATGGGACCTGTGCACCAAAAGACCACATTTACATGATAGTTAGCTCAAGTCAAATGGATGAATGGTAGCACGTGTGAGAGTTAGGCTTCTCTTTTGCACTTGCACGGCATGTGCTTGCTATTTAGCTTATAATATCTGTCAAATTTTGAAAATTAACCAATGTGTTATCCACTAATGTTGACTTCCTACTACCAATTTGGCCATAAATAAGGCTCCATTGATCTAGGCGGCTAGGAAAGTAGCAGATAACACTAATGTTGATTTCCTACTACACCTTAAACTAATGTTGACTTTCTACTACACCTTAAACAATGGTCTGGTGATGGTGAACCAGACCCTCTTACCAAAGGTTGAGGGTTTGAAACCTCAACTACACATTTTGGAAGGTGTCAACTAGTTTATCCAGTAAAGATCTTAACAATTTATCACAAGGTCCTGGGCTCGAATACCACCTTCACTACTCACTCTTTGCCAAAAAAAAACAAAGAAGTTTCATCCTTATTAGCCAGTGTGGGCCGGTATTTACCAGTCCATTGCTGAACCGCCACACAAACCAAAATATTTTGCCCCCCACTTGAATCCAACCAAAATTCACGAAGATCTGATGAAATTCATTCGACTTTGGCTACATGGAATCTACGCAAGAATCATAATTTTAACCTATACTTGCTTAGATCTAAACTAGATCCAGCCTACATTTATGTAGTTTTAGCCATGGTCCATACTACTCCATTGTAGATTTGCAACAATCTGTTTTACAATTGCATAAATACAAAAAAATCCAACAAAAAAAAAGACCTAGATCCACATGGATCAGACATAGAATTGCATGGATTAGACATGAATCCAACCTACATTTGCAAAGATCTAGTTTGGAAGCAGGTCATATTTTCAATATCAAGTCAAAAATAGAGAGGCTTGGATGGTTTTCCAAATTTTATTATGGAGTAGAATACAATCATGTGGAAAGAATCCTAACGTATGAAAAAGTTCTGAATCTAGGATATTGGTTGATCATCCCCCTCTCTTAATTCCCCATCGCCACACTACTCTAATGATCAAGGGGAGTGAGATGCACAATGGTGAACAAGTAGAGGATAATGGCATCATGAAGAGAAATCAAAACTTATTTCAGATTCATGGCATGATATTGCTAAAAGATTCTTCCAAAATTTGAGTTAGTGTAGTGGATGAAGCAATCGTTAGAAAAGCACTAAAGGTGGATTTATAGTTAGATAGCTAATCATCAATTGTATTAAACATTTGAAAAAATAGTGAGAAACATGTTATTCCAGCTCTATCTGATGAAATTCTAAATAGTTTACGTACAACACAATCTCCTCAATTGTGGGTTGGCACACCGAGGCATGAAGCATCTATTGTGTATGTTAGTCGAGGTGGGAAAATAACCTGACTAAAGTACCATCTGGCTAATAAATTTCCCAAAGTGATCAAATGTCCACTGACCAAATCCACCAAGGTACCCAAGAAATTGGACAGGCTTTAGGAGTTAAGTTGGATGCTCAAAACACCATATGGCTAAAACAGAAAGACCAAAGGGAGGAGCTTTGTAACAGGCATCTAACCCTCCCATCCATGATAATTATGAGGATTATAGAAACAATGTTGATGAGGACCCTGATATTACAACTAGTTCTTATATCACCCAAGCACTAATATATGCAAGAGGCCATGATATATCGACATGGATTTGATGGTTCTTCACAATATGAGCATAACAATGGTAGTGGTAGTCAAAATGGTGTTTGACCATCTCCGTTCAGCTGATCCTTCAATTAGGCAACCCAATGGCAGCGGTGCTCAGGTTTTAAACAAGAGTGCCATCCTTGACCAAGTTAGCTAGGGTTGGTTACCTGAGGGAAGAGGAGGCGCTGAGAAGAGCAGCTCATATTCCCAAGTTCACCACAGTTGTTTAAGGAAAGGCAACTTGATGAGGAGATGACTTTCCAAGACGGTTTCTGAGGGAGAGGAGAACTCCCGACCACTCCTTTCCCAAGTCAGTTATCCAGAAGTCTGTTATGCAGGAAGAAAGATGACCAGAGCTCATACTTGCTTTTGAAAGCAATAATACTGGAACTGGCCTGTAACTTGGGTAGCACATACCTAGCACATCTCATGAGATATGTAAAAATGGCAGCAGGGTGGGCATATGGGGCTTTCTTTGAGCTCCTTGAACAAAAGGCCACTCCTGATATAGTCTTTTTTTATCTTATGTCTTGCTCATTCAACATTCCCCTTAAAGTGAGAAGCAAATGAGGATCAAGGGATGCTTACATGGAAGAAAGATATTGGATGGCGATAGCAAAGTCATTCAACTTCAAAGGAATTTCTATACATGCAATTCGAGAATCTTACTATCGACCCATGGCATCCATCATTCAAGAACATGATCCAAAGATAGAGTCACCTACTTTGTATGAGATTTCTAGGTAGTATCACAATGAGGAAGAGGAAATTGGAAATTTGATAAGTAATTTAGCAAACCATGGGAACATAAAGTGTGACCCTCATATGTGATTGTCGGCCTGACTCAAATCGAGATAAGCATTATCACTATCCTGACTTTTTGTAACAAGAGGATCATCTTCCATAAGATGGATAGTACATAAAATCAAATTCAAGGTGAATGATATATTTAGCAGTGGTGAATGACATTGGGAAGCACTATGTAATACAAATGGTGACTGTTAACAGCTCAAATCTCAAGATTGACAAACAACTGATGGACACATGAAGACCTTTTTTTCTGGATACCATGAACTGCTCATATAAACCTTATGATAAAGAACATTGGGACATCCTTACAGTGAAGAGAATAGTGGCAAAAAGCACAAAGCATCATCTATTTATAATTGATGTAAAACTCACATAAGGGAAGTATCTAAGACCAAAGGTCACATGATTTGACACAAACTTTATCTCCATGAAGTCCATCCAGCAGATAAAGATTGAACTAAAGACTATGCTGGCATACCCATTTATTTGTATGCTGGCATGGACTGGACCAATGACAATCCAGCCATTGACCAGAATGGGTCTGGTACCCAAAATTGCATTTCATGGTCCGATATGTTTGTACATACAAAAGATCTCAAATGAGTAATTGCACCTCGTAAGCATACTCATCATGAACACTGTGTTATTAATAGCAAATATGCTTCTACAATGATGAATTCCAACAGAGGCATACTTTTATCATAAAGAAATGCAGTAATAAGTCCCACTTAAAGTATTACTCATGTATTATAAATTACATTTCAACCATTATTTCCAAACTTTGCCAAAACTAACTCAGTATGGAGCAAAGAAAAATCACAATATCTCAAATAACTTAGACAGCAATCTGTTGCCAATGATCAGCTTCACAAACTATAGCATCATAGTGGGATAGTTAAAAACTGCAATCAGTGTTCGGTTGGTTCATCTTTGCAAGGCATACATTTGCAAAACATGCGAAGTGAAATCAACCTTTGGCTTCAATCACTCAATTCAATATACTAACATTCATATGAATGAAAGAAAAATGTGTAATTTATCTACTGTAAAAGTTGGAATGCTAGTTCCCCACTACAGTGGGTTTCTACAGCAAACTATCTCACAGGCGACAGTAACAAGTTATCACTTGCTCTCAGTTCCATCTGAGGTTAACCATATGCCCCAGTAATGAGTAGAACATCTATGTTCCAAGATGATGTCATCTGGCAAACTCTATATTTGATTGACCATACATGTATAACTATGAAAACGGAAGTTATGCAATAGAATTTAATCAATATATATGTTTTAGCAATACTAGAAGGGTTTTTCCAGACCAACACTAAGTAAAGCATTAACAAACATGCTTTAGTAGTGCAATTAGCAGCTAGAGAATTAAATCATACATTCACTTTCCTTTTAAAAGATACTTGATAAAATGCTACTAAAACCAACTCCTAAAAATATTGCAGGTTCTTTATCCATAATTACGAGCAAACTAATTATCACGCTATGATGATTCATCATTCTGTATGCCTCCATGGTACGTACAAGTAAAATAGTAAAATAGCATCTAGCAAAGCATCTATGAAATCCTTATAAGAAATACAATAGAGGATGGTGAGAAGCATACCCAAATAATCAACAACATCTGCCTTCACAATCCGGCCATCAGGACCAGTACCTTTCAAACTTGAAAGTGACACCTGTGTAAAGGGAAACAAACTGAGAAAGCAAACAACAAAAGGTAATCCAGAAATTGATGCTTAGAACCAGAAGACAATCAAGTTTTGTTAGGGTCAAACATCAACAACTAATTTAATAAAACAAATGTCTCACGTTGTTATCTTCTGCCAACTTTCTTGCAAGGGGACTAGAGAAGATCCGGTCTTCTGAATGAGAAACTTCTTCAGTCTTTGAAGCATTTGGTTCAGCAGCCTTGGCAGGGGTTTCTTCCTCCTTTTTAGATTGGGAAGGTTCAGAGGGTGTCTTAACTTCAGTTGGAGCAGAAGATTTTGAAACACTGTAATCTTTAAATTTTTCGATATCACCCTCTTCCTCCACAATTATAGCAATCGCCTGATGACAGATTGTATTATCAAAGTCATAATGTATAGAAGTAATATCATGTCATGAAGGTCTGATCATAATATCAAAATGGTTTTAGAAAGAATCATACAAAGAATAAATTGAATTTAAGCAACATCAGAGGCACAGAAGACCACGATGTTTTGAATAAACCACAGGTTTCTCTTCCATTTTTTACTTTCTATCCCTTACAACTATGTTTTGAATGACCTGCAAAATCCAGAAACAAAACTACTTAATACTGGTTGAAGTAGATGCTGCCTCAATCAATAGAGGGAAATTTATCAACCTAATCATCCATGGATTAGTGATGGATGGCTATGCAAGACAAAACATTACCTGTCACATATATCTTGTAAAAATTCCTATATTGGTCAAACCAACTCTCAACTTATACCATCTTACTTAAGGCAACTTGTACCACTTCCAACACGTAATAATAGAAATATTATACCAATGAACTCCATCTACCAATTCCATCACTATCAACCAAATAGATGAGATAACTCAAAATAAAAGCAGATTCGCAATTGACCATCCACCCTGCACCATATGATGATCAATGCCTTGTCAAACTTAACTAGATTTTAAAGTTTTAAATCAAAAGTCCATCTATCATCCAAACTCATTTGAGCTCCACTTATGTCAACAAGCAAGGGTATCTAACTAAAAAGATCAGCTTGGTGAATTCCCAAGGGTAGTGAGGTGGTAAAGGTACAGACAGGGAGAAAAAGCTACTGCTCTTTGTTCAATAGTCCTAAGGTGGTTAATTCCCTACAGCGATGACATACTGTGCATCTCTGGAAATCACAGAAGAAATAAATGAATAGACCCACAGTACATATAACAATTTATAAACAAATTATTTGCTCTATCAATATAAAAAAATTTCATGAAAAATTCAGTATTACAAAGAGAATAATGAAGACTTTCCGTCAAGCAACAAAAATACACATGAGACCTATTAAAGTTCATGGAAACATACAAGAACAGTGATAACAATCAGAGCAACAATAACAAAAATAAAAGATGAGAAAAGACAAGCATGTTAAAAGCAGGGTTATAAAAAATGATCAACATAAGCCCTAGTGCAACAGTATAATTGCACAACGGTTACTCCTTTGAGACTTCGGTAGCAGGGTTCAAATCACAAAAACAACCTCTCTACTTGTAGGGTAAGGTCGTATACATTTGATTGTATACCCTCTTCAACTCACCGCATTAGCAAAAGCCTCATGCACTAGGTTCACCCCTTTTAAATGATACATGCAACATTAGAGCATAATTGTTTAATGAAAGCTATAAAACCCATAAATTAAAGGGAAAAACTATGAGATTGGCATTGGCAATAAAGATAATTATGCACTATATGTACAAGTACCTCGCCAACTTTTAGATCTTTGGACCCATCCCCATGTATTATCTTAGCAATATAGCCTTCTTCCATGCACTCCATCTCCACCGTAGCTTTATCCTAATCAAAGAATGATTGAATTTTACAGAAATACATATGAACTAATACTATGAAACTTCACCAAGGCAAAGTAGGTATCTTTGCATCTCAAATCCACTTACAGTTTCCACTTCACAAAGCACTTCTCCCGGCAAAACTTTGTCTCCTTCCTTCTTCAGCCACCTTGCAATATTTCCCTACAATGGGAGAAAGCATTGAACAAGTAAATACATGATCTATAATATCAGAAGAACTAGCATTTAGTGTGTTATATACCTCGGTCATGGTTGGAGAAAGTGATGGCATTCCAATTGTTTCATGAGGAGGCAACTCTAACCATATAATGAAATAATAAGTGTCCATTTTAATGCCCTCAATGTCATTGTTAGAAGCAGGCATATACATAATGTACCAATAAAAATATAAAATATGCAATGAAAAAAGTACATAATCAGTACAACGAAATGAATTCATAAAGATAAAAGGCACCATCATATATTGATGCAACGCTAATTGAAAGCTCACTCATTTTGCTTTTGCATTTTTCTTAAACATGTATGGAATGCATGAAGTCCAAGTAAGGAAGGATTTTGTCCAGTTTCTTATATAAAAGAAGGAAAAATCCATAATCATATCATATTTCTAAGAGTCTCATACTTGGCTTGCTTTCACGGCAAGCAGATCCACTATATGTTAAATATGTTTACGTAGAAAAAAACAAAACACATAAGCATACGTATGTTGGATAAGTATTTATGTCTCATTTTTCTACTTATGTTTATGTATGGCATTGACAGAGAAATTTAGTTTCAACTTAAAAGAATCATTTTCAAATAAAAAGTTTTTCCTGCAAAAACTTGTCATTTTCCAATTATCACAAAGAATACGTTTTTGAACACTGATTAACAATTTCGGTATACTTTATATTAGAAGAAGAACCTTGATGGAGTGTGGGAAAGGTTCATTTACATAAAAGAGTATGAGTTAACAAAAATAAGTGAACCAATTCGGAGCACAAATGGTTATTTTATTCCTCGGTTTCATTAAGTCACATTGAACTAGCAAAGTTTCAAACAGATAGGAAACACTGAAGCTATTGTAAGTTGTAACAGAGGTAACTGGTCAAGAATTCCACTGACCTGATAACCTATAGTTGCCATACAGGGAAAAGGTGTGTTATAGGACTATTTTTTTGCAAAGACTATTCTGAGACAAAGAACACAATCTTGAATCCAATCGACATTGGCAAAAAGAAATAAAAAAGAACCATTAGCTTTTTTCATTATAGAGGTGTGGCTATGGAATTTCTATAAAAAAAGGGCCAAATTTTCAACTCACACTAAGAAGCCTTAATGGGTAAAATTTGTGCATTTCTAACATTGCAGCAACTAACCAAAATTTATCTTGTCTTCCAGTATAATCACTCCTCCATTATTTATGCATGTAACTAGCCACTTCAAATATCTACCCAACCAAACTTCTCTTCAGCTAACACATAATGCTTTGGAAAGCTATAACATACAGGAAATTGCTTGCAGCATTCTAAATTAAGGCAGCAGTAGCCTCCACAAGGGTATTAAATGTCAGGTGCTGTGCAATGTATCTGAAAATTGTACGTGATAGAATAGTGGTAATGCCAACTCACTTGCACTGCAAAATATGATTACATAGCATTATGAAGCAGCCCAAAGAGGTGCTTCCGCCTACTCTTCTATGGTCCACACTAAGACCAATCCCACTCCATGACACAATGGGTTGGTCAACCAAGTCAGTCCAAACATTTTATGGTAGGCCCAAGCCGCCCAACCTTTCTACCCAAGAAAATTTTGAGAGTTTCTGTTTCATGTCCCTTCAACTTTCAATTACTTAAAAATTCTTTACCATAGACGAAGGGCAACAAGCAGAGTGAATTGTAAGTTCTTCCATTCATCAAGCACATGGGAAATCAAAAACTTAAGTTGCTCAAGTGCACAGCGAGTGCTATGTTGCTTCTCTTCTCAGTTTCCTAGAGAACGACATTTAATATACAGCATTTCGGTTCTAAGGTTGGACATCATCACTATTTCACATAAATTTATATGATAAATAATAAATTCTGTTCTCTACGACTGTTTATTATTTAAATCATTGAAAATAGTAAACCACTCAAACACATGACATGTATGTTAGTATGATTGCCAATCAATATTAGCAGCACAATTTGGCACCATGGCATACGTAATGGCACACCAATACTTGCCCACCATGGATATCCTCCAATGAAATGTTCATGTTGTTCCCATTAGATGCAAGGCCTTAGAGAATTGGATCTGATCAACATCAAATGATTCATAACAACCATTTTCATATTTGCATTGGAAAAAAGGAGTTGCAATTAATTACGAGAAAAGGACTTGCGTTTAGTCTAGTGCAATCTATTTGCATTTTATGGTGTTTGTTAGGGCAACACAATGACTGAGCCAATAAGTCTAAATTACAATGCTGGTGAAGAATACTCTACAACAGTTGGCCTCAATTACAAGGATCCAAGAATCCTAAAGTAAAGCATGTAACACTATTCTAGAAAAAGCAAAGCATGTGTCAGACATACAGTAATCAACATTTAGCACAACGTTTGCCCAAGCTAGCAATCGGCCTTATGGCAATGTGCCATTGCAGGAAGCATGTAATCAGCTAAGGTATAGCCCATCAAACACATGCTGCTGCACAAATCAATGTCAACCCAATAACAGCTAAGCCAGGATGTCATGACAAGGCAATCCTGAACTTGCAAAAAATATTGCAGCACTTTATAAGCTAATAAATATACAAAAAGACGAATTGGTGAAAGAAGTTTCAAGTAAATGTATTGTAATATATAGATATGTATAAGATTCAAGATTATGTTCTTCATATATCATCAAAAGAATCCAATTCTGTGCTTACTAAATAACAAGGAAAATAATAAATGTATCCCTGTATACATAACAAAAACCTAGATATAAAAAATAAAGCGATAACAAGTAGACGCATAATTTGAACCTGAATTAGTTGAAAAATGTCTCCTTGTAGCTACCGGCACACTGAAAATTATAATTATATTTATAGTCCACCCAATAGGTTTAAAAAATATTACAAAGACACAGGGAATACACAAACCATGATAAAGCATGGTAGAAGTTCATGCCAGCCAAAGTAGTTCTTGTGGTGGCTTTCTGGTAACAGTTCGTCCTAACTGATTCCGAACAAAATGCCTATAAAAAAACAAGACTATGGATTAGGCCAAACATTCAAATATATTTTATTGGACAACATTCTGTCCACAATGCCTTCAAGAGTACATAACTACATTTCTTCAGTCAATTAAGTCAATGATCTTAAACACAAATTAACAGAAGGCTTACATTCTTGATTTTTTTTCCACTGACAACATGATGATAACTCCTTGATACATCAGCATAAACAAACAAATAGTTGATACCTTCGGGCCGATGGTCACTTTCACCGCATCATCAAGATTTTCCACACCCTGAAGCATCGAAGCACGAGCCTCAACTCCAAATCTGATGTCCTTTGCAGCATAGTTTCTACACCTGCCAAGTCTACTTCCAATCTACAGCCACAGACATAACATCATTACTTTCTAACACTAGATATTCCAACACCAGTTACTATTAGTAGAATATATCCTTATGATCAAAGTTGGAAATCAAAACTCTATTTGAACAAAACAATCAAATTATTAAAAACGCTAAGATTCGAATACAAAAGAAATTGTCACTATTAAAAGATTCAGCCTCCCACCAGTCTGCCGCAGCCTCTGGCGACCCTAGCAAACCAACAGATTAGCAAAAGAAGAGACAATAAGTAGGATGGTCACAATCAGAAAAAATCGTAAGAGGTCCTAGACAAGAGAGAGAGAAATGGAGGGACCAAAATCTCACCGGGCTTTGGAGGCGAGGGAGAAAATGGCACGATACATGGTTGAATCGAGTGAGCGATTGGGGATTCAAAGAGCGACAGGCGAAGCGAATAGCTCCTGGGTTAATCTAAAGGCTAGGTTTTCGGGTTTCGGTGGAAGAAACTAAGATTTGACTTAGGGGAAGGATTAGCTATGATGTTCCTCCTACGTGGATAAGTCGGAAAAGCCGCCGCTCCCACATCAACCCGATGAAGTGCCCGAGATTACATAGCATACCTTAAATCGCAAATCTATAGCCTCAAATTGAAATCCAGAATTATAAGCAAAGATGAAGATCCCGAGAAGAAAAAGAATTTCTCGTCAGTAAACGGAAAAAGAGCATCAAATGTCGAGCAAATTTAAAACAATTTCATCTCAATCCAATCCAAAACTGTCAGTTCAATTTAATGGAAGAGATGCCGGCGGTAAAGGGGGAGAATGGACCTTCCGGGAGTGACGGATTATCTGGAAAGCGAGCGTCATGACGGATCGGATCTGGTCGCCGCCGCCGCCGCAAGACGAAGCTGTCACGGAACGAGAAACCGATGAGACCATTCAATCCGTTTCGATCGATGCACATTACACGCACAACAAACCGAGAATGAGATCGCTCACCGGTGAGGATATCAGGAATGAAGTCTCTTACGGCTCCGGGAAGACGGCTACTGGGAAGAGGAGACGAGGACGGTTTATAGGAAGGTGGGAAGAAGGGTCCGGCAACAGAGAGAAAAAGGAAGAGTAAGGGTTTGGTGGCGAAATGTGACTAAAAAACTCATTATATCTGCCGATAGGAGAATATTTATTTTGTTTTTATAATTAATAAGTAGGAAAAAGAAAAGCGAAGCTTGAGTGCCATTTGGTTATTCCTAATGGTCAAACAACCCAGCGTGCCCGTGGAGTCGGATCGCTGCCCGTTTATGAAACGGGTCAAGATCCGAAGCACATCGAGTCAACCTACCCGATCACACCGGGTGAGATCCCCAATCCGACCCGGTAATTTCACAGCGCAAATGGATAGTAGGGATCAGATTAGTTATGATGCTCCTCGTACGTGGATGGGATCGAAACCAGTCATCGAAAAAGGGGTCATTCATGGGACTGAATGATGGGAAGAACAGAACGAAAGGTGAAAACTGTAGTAGTATTATTTGCTGCAAAGTAGCTAAAGTCGCATTATTCCAGTTATTGCAAGCCCTCGCTCGCAAATACGGCGTCTACTCCATGCGACTTATGTTGCTTTGTCTTGTTGGGGATCGTCGTCTCTCTTGGTGGCGGGCGGCTTGCGATACGACTCCTCGTAGTGCTTGGCGATGACCATGGCGGTGCCGGCGAGCTTCCTCAGGTTGGGGACGCTGTAGTTCTGGGCGACGTAGACGCCGCACGCCGCCCCCAGCAGGAACGAGAGGCTTCTCCTGATGATGGCCATCCGCTCCTCACCCTCCCCCCGCCGATGTTTCACCTTTTGGCTTCATGGATTCTTTATATAGCGGTGATAAGGGACGGCCTTTTCCCGGATTCTCGTCCTATTGTGCCCCCTCGTCCAAGAAACTGTGGTACGTTGACATCTCATCGAGCGCCGACTCGGTTACTTGTGAATAAAGCTACGGAACACTACCCACCACTAAGTTTGGGTAGTATAAAGTCATGGCGAATGGAGACTGTTGCACTGAGGGAGTATAAAGGCACCCTCTTAGTGATCTACCAACAACAATACGAACATAACTCACAAGGCTACCAACAACAATACGAACATATGCATTTAGCTTTTTCCATCAGCCACAGCTTTCAAATCAGAAAGCTAACCAATTACCTGGAAAGAAAGTGTGCCTTAATCAACTAAGCAATTATTCTATAATTCATCTCTCCAATGGCAGTCTTCATTGTAAATGGGGGTATCTATCGATCATAATAAATTACTGCCAGCAGAAGCAAAACTTAACTCTGTGGTTTATCACCACATCATTACCAGCCTCAAGAAACTGAAGTTTATACATCAGATATTAGTAGTCCATTCCTCCCATGCCAGGTCCCATCGGTGGGGTCTCCTTCTCATCCTTTGGAAGTTCAACCACAACAGCTTCAGTGGTGGTCATCAAAGAAGAAACGCTGCAATGAGTAACAGCTTAGTTACAACATAGATCCATCCTTCTTTTACCAACATCAACAACTACTTTTAAATCTCTAAGATGACAAGGGATATTCCAATTGACACAAACAAAAGGAACAAAACCGAACCGATGAAAAGCCCATGTACTTACCTCGCAGCATCCACCAATGCAGTCCTAATGACCTTCAATGGGTCAATTATACCGGATTTCACCAGGTCTACATACTCCCCTGCATATAGTAAAAACATCGATGAAGTTTAGATGGCAATGCGAGAAGAGAACCTTATATTAGGAAAACCAAAGTGTGATACAAACAAACCTTTGGCTGCATCATAACCAAGGTCTGGATTCTCTTGTTCCAACAGCTTCCCAACAACCACAGCCCCCTCTACTCCAGCATTGGAAGCAATTGTATGCGCTGGAGACTGCAAGTTCAGGACGAGGGAATGGAACAGGATCAATGACAAACGAGAAAAGAACAGATACATCATCATGTATATTTTACTGAAGATTTAGAAGACCAGTCTAGGACCTTCAAAGCATTCTGAATTATTTGGACACCAATCTTTTGGTCAAAGTTGGCAGTCTGCAACTTATCCAGCTCTCTAGATGCATAAAGAAGTGCAACACCACCACCTGAATAGAACAGTTTATTGATTGAACCCCGAATGGAGAACAGTCCGTCATAAACATGGACTAGAAGTAACCTGGTACAATTCCCTCTTCAACCGCAGCCTTAGTTGCATTTAACGCATCTGTGACTCTGTCTTTCTTCTCACCAACTTCTATTTCACTTGCTCCTCCAATCTGTATAATTCAAAAAATCCAACAGCCAATAAAGTTCATGAAACAGCCAACTAGGAACTACTAGTGATAGTTGTACACACAGCAAGTCACTGACACTAAAATATATATCACCATAATAAAATATGATAGTTCATAGAATAAAAATGTTTAAGCCAATAATTGATTTGACTATATTAAGACGCTGAGAATGGCGTGATAGTGTAAACGACACAAATGTTTAGACCCAATATGTTCTGATTATTTTTGTTTCATCTGCTTATGTTAAGCAAAGTACATGACAAACAGGACAATGCAAGGAAACTAAACTATGATCTAAGCATGAAGAAATGTACATACCTTGAGCACAGCAACTCCACCAGAAAGTTTCGCCAACCTCTCTTGCAGCTTCTCTTTGTCATAGTCTGACGTGCTTACTTCAATTGCAGATCGTATCTGTCACAGAGACAAATGACAACATTTGGCCAGTATCAGCATGTTATCATGTTAAATTCTAATTGTCTTGTTTTTTAAAAATTAAATAGAACAGAAGGGCACCAACCTGCTCACATCTCTCTTCGAGAGCCTTTTTGTCACCGGCTCCATCAAGAACTACAGTGTCATCTTTTGAGATTGACACCTAAAATATTACCATTTACATGTTCAATGTTGGTGCAAAACTAAGAAAATAATAGTTTCTCTAATATGATCAACTTAAATCAAATCAATTGATAATGATTGCAGTGACAAAATTAGTGCAAATTATGTAAACAGAGATTTTTAACTAAAGAAAAGGACCAGAATATCAAGATAAAATTGTAAAGCAACCAACACAGATTGGAAGCTACAAGAATATGAGACCCCTTAGACATCTCAATTAATTAGGAACTTGAATGCTTTCTACTAGGAAACAGGTATAAAGAAACAAGAGCAAGTATTGACAGACACTAGTAACAAAGGGCAACAGAGGGTATAAGAACACAATCTGACCTTTTTGCACGTGCCAAGCATGTCAAACTCAACTTTCTCAAGGTTCATACCAAGTTCTTCTGTTATAACCTAAGTAAACAATGAAACAGTTATTATGGCAATATCATTTACTGACCATCAGAACACAACAATCATGAATGAGAAAAGATCCTCACAGATCCGCCAGTGAGAGTAGCAAGATCTTGCAAACTAGCCTTCCTGTTCTCCCCAAAACCAGGGGCCTTCACAGCACAAACCTGTGAGATCACCATTCCTTGGTCAGAGTATTTAACAATAACCAAAATTCATAAATCCAAAATTAACAATAAATATACACATAAAATTACTCAAAAAATGACCTTAATCCCGGCACGAAGCTTATTAAGAATTAGGGTCGCCAGTGCATCACTTTCTACGTCTTCTGCCACAATTAGCAAAGGCCTCTGTCTCTGCGCACATTAAAGAAAACTGTGTAAGAAAACATCATATGAACTACCAGGACAATTTGGTCGCATAACAGAGATGCCATACCTTCAAAGCCAATTCTAACACCTTGACAACTGCATTGATGCTTGAAATTTTCTTCTCGTGTATTAAAATAAGAGGATCTTCAAGTTCCTGGTAAAAGGAAAATTGGAGTGACCTGATAATAGGAACACAAACAAATACCATGCAGATGGAAACTAATTTATCAGGATAGTCCTCTTACACATCTTTGATTCTTTTGATCAGTAATAAAATAGGGTGATATGTAGCCTCTGTCGAGTTTCATTCCTTCAACGACTTCGAGTTCATTGTATAGGGTTTTCCCATCCTAAAATAGATCCATAAATAATATTATATTCAACTATGATGATGTAGATTACAGATGACGTTTGCAGATTAAATAAGAAAAGGATCAAAAATAAAAAAAGCAACCATTAAACACAGAAAACAAAATCAGCGATTGTAGGGAGAAAATGTCACAAAAAAACCAATTACAACATGCTATGCATATTTCTTAAATTTCTATCACATCAGTATATAATTCTAAAACAACATACATTCCAGCGAGGTTAATTGGATGATCAATTACATTCATAACACTCCAAAAATGAAGCCATCTATTGTGTAGGAGACCTCCTGGTGCATTAAGATCCATTTTAAAATCTGTTTTGAGAGCTACCAACGCATCAGGAATCTGAACATATAACACATGGTTTATGTGGTGTGTGATTAATGGAGATAAATACATCAATTTCTCATCATATTAATCGATTAATTAGCCACGACAGTGGAAATGGAAGGCTCAAATTTTTCACCGCATCTGTACCGGTAACAAGTCAAATATGATAATCTACAGATCTAAGTTTATGAAAATATTTTTAAAGCACACATATGCAGCAAATTGTGCATCAAACTACCAAAGTCTGTAAGCAGGAAATGGTGAAAAAAATGCAACCTTAAAACTAAGCAAATGTGCCTCACGAAGGCAATCTTGGAAAGGTTTTATCAAATAGTGTCTCATCTCCATTCAGCCAAAATAAAAGGAAACTAAAAGAAGATCATCCATCAATCAAAATCTAAAATGAACTAAAGTCTTAATTGTGTATAATATGTACACAATCCATATTCACTAATCACTACCATCAACATTCTTTGCCAAAAACACATTACTTACAGCAACTGTTATGACTCCCTCTTTGCCAACTTTCTCCATTGCTTTTGCAATTAGTTCACCAATTTCTCTTTCTCCATTAGCTGATATTGTACCAACCTTTCAAAGAGAAAACTTGCATTTAACAAAAATATCTCAAGAATTAATGTTATTATGAGACATAAACAAAATGCAGAACTTGCCAAGATGTAAAGGCACAGGGATCCAGAAGTTATCCCTTGCAGAACCACTAACACCACATAAAACCAATTACCTGGGCTATCTCCTCTGAGGTACTAATCATTCTTGCTCTGCTCTTCAAGTTAGTCACCACAGCATCAACAGCCATTGTAATGCCACGTCTCAAATCCATTGCATTCATTCCAGCTGCCACCGACTTACACCCTTCAGAAAATATTGCTCTTGTAAGGATGGTAGCACAAGTTGTCCCTGCATATAGATTAGGTGAGTTTTCATTGAATCCTTGTCAAACAGAACCAAACAACTCAGTTAAGAGAATGATTGGATCAAAACAATAGCAGATCAAGCCATATTGTAAACCATATAAGCCTTATTCTTATGAAAAATAAGATAGTGCATTATTAAGCAAGTTACTACAAGGTTCTCATGATGATAGAATCTCAGGAGATAAATCCCAGAGAAAATTGACAAAATCCAACACATTAGCGGTCGGGTAAGATGTGAATTTGACCATGTGAGCATTCGCATGAAGCCAATTGAAAATAATCTAACAAAGAATGTATCTGATATGCTCCAGGAGTGACGACAAAGGTCAAGTGATGGATCTATATGTTGCTCATCCATGTTATCATGAACAAATATCAAACAATATAACCAGACTCCATGTTACCAAAGCATAAAAACAAGACTACCTATTCAATGGTACATCAAAATACTTACCATCACCAGCAACATCATTGGTTGCATTGGCGACCTGCTTCACAAGGCTGGCCCCCATATTCTTTATTCTGTCCTTGAACTCGATGCTCTTTGCAACAGTGACACCATCTTTTGTAACTTTGGGGGCACCAAAGCTTTGTTCAATAACAACATTGCGCCCCTTCAAGCCAAAAAACAAGACCACAATGAATCTAGTTCAACCGACGTTTTAACAACTATATACGAAATAAGACTTCAAAATAACTAGTCATTGTGTTTCACAAATAATTGTTTTTTCACTTTATTTAAATTATCCACAACATAAAACAACACATACTTTTTATCAGTATAACAAATAAGTGTCTAATACCTTCGGGCCCATGGTCACTTTCACCGCATCAGCGAGATCTTCCACACCCTTAAGCATCAAAGCACGAGCCTCCACTCCAAATCTGATGTCCTTTGCAGCATAGTTTCGACTCCAGCCAAGTCTACTTCCGATCTACAGCCACAGACATAGATATTCCAACTCCAGTTAATGTTACTACAATCTATCCTTATGATCGAAGTTCGAAACCAATACTTTCCTTGAAATAAACAATCAAATCTTCGAAGAAACTAAGATTTTAATACAAAACAAATTATAACTACTAAAAGATCCAGCCTCCCACCTGTCCGCCGCTGCCTCTGGCGACCCTATTAAACCAGAAGATCAAGAAAAAAAAAGACAATAAGTAACAATGGTCTCGCAACCAGAAAACGAAATCGAAAGTGGTAAGTTTCACCTAGATATTAGAGAGAGAGAGAGCAAAAGCTTACCGGGCTTTGGAGGCGAGGGAGGAAATGGCCCGATACATGGTAGAATCGAGGAGAGAACGGACTAGCGTTTTGGGTGGGCGCTTGGGGATTCAGATGAGAAAATGAGCCCCTGGGTTAGATAAAAGGGAGACGAGGCGGGGTGGCGGGCCGGGGAAGCGAAACAAGCCTTCGTGGTTTCCAGAACCCCTCAGAACCGTCCTCAGTAGGGTTTAGGGTTTGGTGGAGCAGACTAAGATTTGACTTGGGGACAGGATTATCTATGATGTTCGTCCTACGTGGATGGATCAATACCAATCGTCCGTGGAAGCGTGGCGCATGAGATAGAACAATAGGGGTTATCCGCGGAGCATCTTAGCGCAGGTCACGAAGGATGAGTCGGCTGAATGGGTCCACGAATACTTTGTATTGTTTGGAGTACAGCGAGCAATTCCTCTAAAGAAAAATATATATAAATAAATAAAAATTGATTTCCCCTGTAACCCCTAGGTGGCACAGGACTAGATGAGGCTTTCATATAACAGGGAAGGTGCTGCCCCCCGCTTCGCTCATTGTCCGCCGCTCGCCGCTCACTCGCGCAGTCAAAAATGATCAGTTTTGACTCGTTTTTGGACCGTTTTGGCTTGTTTTTAGTTGTTCTTGCGTGTCGCGATGACCATCGTGAGTAAAGCAAAACGTCAGCCATCTCAATATCCTGGAACCCCCGGGTGGCATAAGGCTGGATGGGGCTTTCGTATAACAGGGACGGTGCTACCGCTCGCTTTGCTCTTTGTCCGCCGCTCGTCGCTCGCTCGCGCAGTAAAAAATGACCGATTTTGACTCATTTTTGGATCGTTTTGATTTGTTTTTGGGTTGTTCTTGCATGTCACGACGAACGTCGTGAGCGGCATTCAATAGTTACTAAATAGAATGACATGAATATGTGCAAATTATGCTGCCCCACTTATCTATAATAATTCTCTATAAATGTAACTAAATTGTGCTGTCCAAATTTTGCTAGTTATCTCCAAAAAATTATGATGTCTCGGCATATATTGTGTTACTATTAGATCAACACTCAACGCTTGAACCCTTATCATGTTGTCAACTCCATTAGTATCGGAATGGTTTTTTAGTTGGCAATGCTCTTACATAATCTTGACACATCGGATAACTAAAATATATAGAACATATTAACACTCATTAAATATATATATATATATATATATATATATATATATATATATATATAAAAGCTCGTTTGCATTTGGTAGCAAGTGAGGTTCTTTTATAGTCCATTATATGATCTAAACAAGACATCGCATTCACGGTATCCGACAGCATATGATTAATTGAAGATCTCCTCCTGTTT